AGAATGTGAAAATATATAACCATTGTGGAAAACAATATGATGTCTTAAAAAAAATAATTGTGGAAAAATCCCCTGCGAAATTGTAAAATAAGGAAAAAAGATCATGAAGTTCCTGACATTACTCTTAAATGCTTACTCAGAATCGATTTGCTGTGTTTACACATAATTATGACGAGCTCTGTTTCTGTTCTCTTGAGTACAGATCAATTGAGCAGATGAGCACAAGGACCCTTTTTATAATTCTTGACCGGTTCTCACTTAATGCCTATAGGCTTTTTGTTTCCATACCATTATCCTTTGTTTGGTTTGTTTCACTGCACACCAAATGAAAATGCAAGTGGGTGGATTGTTACTAAATACAGTTGCAATGACATCAGCAAGAAGTGACAGTTGACAACCTGATGGGAAGAAATGAAATAGAATAACTATAAAATTATATAGCTACTAGACACCAAAAAGACTGGCAGCGTGACATCATCTAGTTTGGGGCTATGGGCCCCACACGTTTTATACCCCTGAGAGCAGCTGTATTTATGCAAACACATTCAGTGATATTTTCATGATAGTGTCAGTGAATCCTCAAGAAAGAATTTAAGTTATATTCAGTTTATTCTTTTTAAGGAAATAGAGGAATATGCAGTGCATTTTATCTAGTTTTCTATACAAGTTGACATAATTTGGCACTTTAAGGGGTAAGCTTTTGTTATAATGATAATAATAGCCACCGTTCTTGAGTGCCTGCTCCGTGGCAGGCAATGTGCTAGGTGTTGAATACAAATTGTCATTAATCCTGCTGGGCTGTGAGCCTGCAACATGGCCAGGAATGTATCTGAGAGGTTTGGGGAAGGCAGATCCATTGCGTTGTGGCTTTGGCAATTGGTTTTATTGTGAGAATTAAAGACTTACAGATTGCCTTCTTCTTAAGAAGGCAGAGGAGTGCATATTGATTTCTTTTAATTTATTATATTGAGCTGATGTAGTTTGATAAGCTTTTGTTATAATAATAACAGCCACCACTTTTACGTATCTGCTCCAGGCCAAGTAATGTGTCTGGTCTTTAACATAAAATATCTTTACTCCTGCCAAGTAGTTATTATTATCCCCATTTTACACATTGAGAAACTGTGGCTCAGAGAGATTATTATCTGCTCAAGGACAATAAGTGAGTGATACAGCCAAGACTCAAATCCAGCTGCCGGAAATCCCAAACCCATACTCTTCTCAATCCGAGCTGACTCCAGTTAAGGAGGAAATACCATTATATGCACCTGATGGTTCCCGGACAGTGCCCATAAAGGACTGGTTTCTGTAAGGAGCTTCCTGGTACAGTGGGAGGGTTCCTATTTGTTTCCCTCTTCTCCATGGAACACTGTTCTCAGCCAGGGAGAGGAGAGCTATTCTGGATCCTGTGAGTCGGAGCCAAGGGAGAATTTTATTCAGTTAAGAGAAACACATCAAGAGTGATTCCTTGATGTGACCAACTGAGTCCATCCACCTCTCAGAGTGACCTGCCTGGCCATGGTTTACCACGTTCAGCATTTTCCCTGGCAGCTGAAGGCATCCTAAAATAGCCTCTGGACCTTGGAAGGAACCTCTCCTGGTGCCTACAGTAAGAAGGTGCCTGTGGGGTTGGGAAGGGCAGCCCCAGGGCAGGTCAACTCCTCTCTGGAGGAAAGTCAGCGAGGCCTTCTCACTGTCCAAGCATGAGAGGCCAGGAAAACCCCACGGACACATATCCCATTCCTTTCTTCTGCCACAAATGCCTTTCTCATTCCTTGTCTACCCTAAAACCCACTGACGTCATATTCTTGGTTCTAAGCTCTTAATGGCAGTGGGAAGGCTAGAGCTGACTGTTGTTGGGTGTTTCCCTTCCTCCTGGTAACTTAGGCCGTGATAATACCCCAGCAGGTTAGGCTCTGGTTATCTGGTTTCTCTTGAAGGTAGGCCTTCTTAGGAAGAACAGAACACTCTGGTCTATTTCACAATGATTCCTTTCCACTCCTCCTCTGGAGGCAAAGGGGGATTTTTCTCTGTTATTTACTGTGAGAACCAGGGGTAGCTCCTGGAGGCAAATCCCACCAGGGGATTTTTCTGCCATATGTACTGTGAGAATCTGGTCGAGCTCCTAGAGATAAAACTCACACGATTGTGGGTGGCCCTCTGACTGGGTGCCCCTGGAGTTTTAACTCTCAAGAGCCGTCTACACTAAGCCTCCAGCAGTTCATAAGTTACAGTTCAGGTTTTCCTACCTCAGTGCTGGTTCCCACTGAGGTTTGCCCCTGTGAGTCTCTGCTCCAGTCAGCCATTACTCCCTGCATCCGCCTGTCTGTCTCCCCAGTCTTGGGGGAAGGGATTGCCCGGTGTTCATCTCTCTTAATGATCGCAGAAGAGTTGTTGTTTCTTCCAGTCTCCTCAGCTTTTTATTTGCTATTAGGACAGAGTGGTGACTTCCAAGCTCCTTGGATGTAGAACCCAGTACAATCAATTTTCAGTCGAAATTCTCCAGTTAATTTGACAGCTCCGAATGTCCCCCAGGCTAAAGAGAAGGAATTGCGTTGTTGCTACTGCTGCCGCGGTTGTAATTGTGGTGGTTTTGTTGTTGTTGAGTCTAGATCATACACACATTGTATAGAATTAGAGGAACAGCCTTTAGGTGTAAGTCTTTTAATTGCATGGAAACTCACATAAGAATTTTCAACCAGATATGGGTCTCTGGCACACTGTGATAAATCATCTTTTTAAAAAACTTTAAATCAAAAAGCATAGGAATCTAATTTAAAGAATGGAAATAAACATTGCAGTTAGACTCTATCAAAATTGTTGAAATTAGTTATTTCTCCAGCAAAAATGGGTTTATTTGTGATGAGCAAAGAAATGCAATTCAGGTCTGCAACCATGGCTCACCACCTGCAAGTACCCCAGCAGCGAAGGAGGAGAAACTCTTATTTAAGAGGAAGTTGGGAGGGCTACTGAAAACAAGCAGTCCCCTGGAGGAACTGAGAGTTCCGTGTGTAGTGGCTTTTCATTGGCTGAGTTATGACATTCTCTCATTGGCTGAGCTTCCTGCCTGTCAAGAAGAAGAAGTCTACTTTCCCCCTCTTGGGCTCTGCTATAGAGGTAGGGAGTGAGAGCTCCACCTCTTCGCCTCCGAACTTTAATGAGGTTTCCGTTTATTAATTTCAAAATGTTGCAAAGCTTTTTTTTTTTTCTAAACCAGATTGTTTCCAACTGACCCTGATTTCCAGGTTTAAAAGCTATGAAATAAGATCATTAAATCAAGGGCCAAATAGTCAGGTGACTATTTTAAAATCAGTATTTTCCTTGGCAACTTTCGTTAGATCAAGCTGTCTAGGGCTGAAGTTCAGAGAAGTTTCAGGGAAAGCTGGATGCAATCTACGCAGGCTGCGCCAGCGAATGTCTGGACGTCCTTGAGTCCACTTGTGAATCAGGGGTGGGCTCAGAAGAGAGTGGTTTTGTATTTTATACTAGGAGACACTAGATTTTAGGAGGAATCATTGGGATAACCCTTACTCCTCTGTCTCAGTCCTGGAAACTTCTATCAGGAAACCGACTGTGCGTGCCGAATGAAATGGGAGGAGTCTGACTGAAATGTTGCGCTCCCAATTTCAGAATCCAGGCACGACGCTGCTCTACCTAACAAGGTCCGGATTTTCTGCAGGCTGGGATTAGAGCCCTGTAACAGCGGTGAGACTGGATGTTGAACTTGCTGGAATGAATTGTTTCCATTCATTCAACAAACATTGGCTGAGTGCCTGCCAGGGTGCCAGACATACTGCCAAGTGCCAAAGTAAAGGACTTTTCTTTTTAAACCTCGGCCCCCAGCTCAGCACCAGGCGCTTCTTGCAAGTTCAAGGCGGGCTTGAGGGGTGAGTTAGTACCAGTCCCTCCCTATCTGAAGACGCTGACCTTGAAAGGAAAGTCTGAAACTGCTGGCGGCTACCCTAGCACCTTCTAGAAGGGTGCAGACCCGGATTCCTTCCCCCGCACCGCCAGCCCGGTTGGTAGCCACCAAAGATTTCCGAGTGAATGTTGGAGGAGTGAATGTTGGCAAGAAGGCTGAAGGCACACGTGGCCCCAGGGCTAGAGTTCTGAGCCCTCGCACCGACATGCCCACGAAATCGGCTTCTAGAGTAGTCGTTTCTTAAGTCGTTTCTTAAGTCGGTTCGTGTGTTAGAAACCTCAGGTCTCGTAAGTGGAAGTCATTTCCGCGAAAGCATTTGGCACCTGAGAGCAAAGACTCGCCTACAACAGCCTCGAGCGGCAGAGCCCAACCTCCTGCCGCACAGTGTCCCCTATGCTGCCTTTGCCAATTCGGCCTTGCAGCTCCGCACGGAAAGCCTAGGTCAGGGCTCAGGACCCAAACTGCTGAGCCCCGAAGCCCGGACTGGCTCTCAGCGGCGGCTGCCTGATTCTAGGCTCCAGGACGCACCGAGCCCAGGATCCGCCATCCTGAGCCCTGTCCCTTGCTCCGCTCGCTTTCCCGGCTCCGTGCCTGACGCGCACCTGCGTCCTACCCACCCGCCCTTCCACTCCCGGGTTCCCCGGCCGCCCTGCCTGTCTGCCCTGCGGAGAGCGAGTTTCAGACACCCAGTTCCCCTGCCCCGAGCTCTTATTCCCTTGAGACAGTGCCGTCCCGGGAGTTAAGAAGGAAGAAAGTGGAATAAGGGCACCTTGGAAGTTAGGTGTCCCGGAGCATAGAGACTACCAAGTGGAATGGGAAGAGATGTGCCGCGAGGCAGGTGTGTCCTAGGAAATGCTGTGTCTCCTGGGGACTGAGGACTGGAGTGCGGACCGGTGGCTCAGCTCACTTATGGCATCCCCGGGGCTAGTTTCTGCTTTGTTTGAGAGAACCACCCAGCTGGGGTCCTTGCCTACCCCCCCTCACTCCCCTCCCAAGCCCCCCCCCGCCTCTCCCCGCCCCCCCCACCCCCCCCGCCGATGCCACAGCTGTGCTTGCCGCGCTAGGAGGATCTGTACAGCCTGCGGCGGATCGCGAGTGCGCGCTCAGACCCGGAGATCCGCGGACAGTGGGAAGCTTCTTTCCCCTCACTCCACCCGCTGAGGGTGGCAACTAGGACCTCGGACCTTCCAGGCAGGCTTGGAGCAGAAAGCTCTGGCAGAGGGGTCCTGAAACCTTGTTGAGCAGGGGGTGAGAGGGTCGAGGTTCTACATAATTTGATGTTATGGAGCACGCTTATTCTCGAGAGCGAGTGCAGGTACGGTGCGAGCGGGTCATCATCATGCCAGTGTGTGCATGCCATCCCACAAGAGACTCGCAGGCACACTTGGGACGCAATTGAAAGTGAACCCGAGCGGATGTCCCTGCGAGCGAGTGTTTGTGAGTGCCTGTGCTTTGGAGAGCGGGCGCATGTTTAGCACAGTAATGAGTTCGTGTGTTTGAAAGAGTATGCCTGGAAATGTGAGCGTTAGTTTCCGCAGGGACTTTAAGCAGCGTCAAGCCTGCCCTGATCTCTAGTGGAGGATTCAAGCGCGAGGGACGTGGGTGCAGGGCCAGAATCGCACGTCACTGGGACATCTTGGCAAACAGCAGCGGGAAGCTGGGGCAGCTGGGCAAACGGCTCGGACAGGCTGAACAGCGAGAGGTGATGGATGGCGGGGGATGAGGGCGTGCAGGCAGGTGATCGAGGCAGGGGGAGGGCTGGGGCTGCTTGGAGGCTGAGGAAGCACCTGTGCCTTGTACCTCCCCGCTGAGGCGCAGCAGGATGTATGATCCCTCCTATCTACATGCTAGACCACTCAGCGCGAGTCCAGGCAGCCACACAAGGTGGGGGTTCGGAAAGTATGGAATGTGACCTTACAGAAGCCCCTATTTGAGCCAGAAGTCTCTTCTAGATCCCTATCTAGCTGGGTGCCAGACACATGGCTACTGATCACAACATTCTTTCAAGATGGGAATAGGGTCCCCATTTCAAAATGAGAACATTGAGGTGCTGAGAAGTTACTTGGTCATGATCCTACCACTTGGAATTGGTGCAGCTGGAATTGAGTTCAGGTCTGACAGAGTTCTTGCTCACTTCCGTCTCTTGCTTCCCAGGATCCCTGCTCCTCTGTGGGTGATTCCACCTGCCTGAATCAGACATCCTGCCTGGGCCCAGAATCAACCCCCTGTGCCTTAACCCTCCAACTCTCACATGGACAGGGATCTAGGATCAGTCTAGGGGAGCCAGGAGCCCCTACAGTCCTGGACCCTGCCCTACAAGATTGCACAGCTGGGGATGGAGGGGGCTTGTATTGAAAACCAGTGGAAATGAACAGGTGAAATTTACCATGACGTCAAACTGTGCTCAAATTCCTGTTCATTTCAAGGGTGTTTTTCCTTGGTCCCCACCCCTCCCACTTCCATCAATGACCTCAATGCAAATACAAGTGGGATGGTCCTCCTGGATGCTCCAGGTTCTGGACGTAAGCGGTGACACAATCCACTGGGGCACAGGATCCTTCCCCTCATTGGCTGCCCAGAGCTCCTGGACCACCCAACACTCAAAGCAGAGGGAATAAAAGCAGACGCTGATGCTGGGAGGCATCAGAGCCACTTTCCAGCTCAAGTGCCACAGATACTTCGAGAGTGCCTTTCCCTGACTTCGACGCTGCTGCTGCCACTGTCTCTGTTCCAGGCTACCTGCTAGTACTTGCCCGGTGAGCCTCAAGATTCCTGCTTAGGTGTATTTTTCTATTTCTTTCTCCCTTTCTCCCACCCACCCTCCATTAGTCTTTCTTTTGGCTGATCTCCTTGCCCGTCTCAGCATCTCTGTCCACTTTTGTCTAGATCTCTTCGTCACAGAGTCTCTATTAGTCCCCGATTCATTCCAGGCTCCTGCTCCAGGTAAGACTGGACAGTCTCAGTTTGAGGACTCCCTGCCCTACTCGTCCTGTGCTGAGGTAGGCTCCAGTCTCAGTCTCTTGCTGCACACGTGCTTAGACCAGTCTTGGGATGCTTGAGCTCCCCAGGCACTGTGCACAGAGAAGGATGCAGGAGTAGCTTTATGTAAACCATGAGCTCACAGATTGCATCTGGTTGCTAGTGGTCCCCAGGAAATCAGTTAGCAAACTGGGTCATGGCAAGTGAGTGGCAACTAGGCACAAGGACTGAGGGGCAGACAGCCATTAAAGGCAAGCCCCAATGTGGGTTGTGGGAGCTTTTTTTCTCCAGTTCAAGTCCTTTATCCCAGTTTAACACTCTGCTAAGCTTGGTTCTTACAGGGAACTCTGAGAAAGTGTGGAGTTGCTGAACAGTTGAATTTAGTCTTCAGTTTCTCAGAGATTCCAACCTCAGAGATATTCTCTCTCTATCTACTCCCCTAAAACACACCCCTCCGGGTGTGAGCAAAAGCCCCAGACAGGGAGGACAGCTCTGGGTTGCATTATGGGTGCAGCTGTGGTGCTAGAGTGCTCCAAAACTATCCTTGATGGAGACCTGGCCAACAGGTAGATGTGAGAATGTGTGGGGTGGCAGGGAGGGGCATATAGACTGAGACCTCCTCACCCAGTGGTCCTGCTAGCATTGCTCCTCCAGCTTTGCTAAGCCATGCATGCTACAGGCCCCCTGGATCTTCCAGCAGTCCACTTCACTGAGGAAACAAGGGTGAAGGGAAATGACACAACCAGCCAGGAGCCTGGAAGGCAGGGAGTTAGAGGCAGAGGCAGGACCAGAGCCCAGGTCTGTGGGTCCAGAGGGTTTTGAATTGCTGCAGGTGGTGATGTCATTCTTCCCTTGCAGAAAGGCGTCATGGGCTTCTGGAAGTTCTCCCCCTTCCTGCCTCTCAGCATCTTGGTCCTGTACCAGGTGGGCATCATCCAGGCAGCACCATTCAGGTAAGACAGCCCTGCCAGCAGCACGCTCTCCTCCTACTGGCCCTGGGATCAAGCAGTTCTGTGCTCTGAATGTTTAACAACCAGCTCTCAGGGGGAAAATATATGTATGTAAACCTGCACATAAGATTACTATAAGCTTTTTATGATATAAAGATTGTAACACACAATTTACAAATAGAAATAAGATATATTCTCCCTCACTGAGCCTCAGAGAATGCTTTTGTTTCCTTTTACCAAACATTTCTATCTGTAGCCAGCTCATTGATATAATTCCTCCATGATCTGAGAAATGAATTGCATTCTAATCTACTACCTATTTTGCCCATAAGTTTGTTGTTTAAATCTGATGTGTGATCTGTTAATCTATTTCTTACTCTCTTACAAATTATATTTATTAAACTAAAACTCTTTTTAGCTTTAGCACTGATTGTAAGTTTTATCATTTAATGTTTAATATTGGCTATATTTAAAACTAGGTTCATAAAATTTCTGAAAATTTAACCTTTCACAAGCCTGCATGATCTGGATCTAGCACACCCCGACTCGGAGGTCACACTGGTGCCTGGATCCTGATGAATCAGTGTCCTCAAAAGGACACTGGCCTCATGCCCTGTGCACTGGGAGTTGGTGGCCACCTCCTCAGGAGAAGGTGCAGAAACCAGGAAGCCTGGCTGCTTCTCCCGGGGAGGGGCCAGGCGGGGGCTCTGAGCCTGTACTGGGTTTGCCTCCCCTCCCCAGGTCTGCCTTGGAGAGCCTCCCAGATCCTGCTGTACTCCCTGAGGAGGAATCGCGACTCCTACTGGCTGCGCTGGTGAAGGACTATGTGCAGATGAAGGTCAGGGCGCTGGAGCAGGAGCAGGAGACAGGGGGCGCCAGGTGAGGCTCCCCACCCCACCCAGCACAGGGCACCCCCTCCCTCCTGTCAGGCCCAAGAAGGAGGAGAGAACCCAGCCGGACAGGAGGCCAGCAGGCTGTCAGTTCACCCCGACCTGGGGCCCCGCTGTTCTCAGGCTCCACTGAAGACAGGTCAGGTGGAGAGACTGTGGCTAGACCACATGTAAAAAGATCCATTTCTGAAAGCGGTTGGGGACGGTGTGGAATCCCTCTCTCTGGACACTGGTCTGGCATTACTGAGGAGACTTCCCAGCCCTGCAGGAGTTAGGACTGGTAAGTGTGACCCCAGCAGATGGACCCCACATATCTCAGGAGATTCTGGAAATTTGGCTCCACCTTGTTAACCTGCATACAATATTCTCTCTCACCTGCAAGGTGCCTTCATTGCACATTTGCAAGGTGAAGCCAAAGGCCTTGCAGAGGGTGGGCTCAGGTAGAGCAGTGTTGGAGGTAGGTCTGGGGTCTTCAGGTGTGTAGGATCCATGGATATGTGAATGTTGTCAGGAGCCAGACACCCTTCCCGGCCCCTTCTCCCCGTGCACCCTGAGCTTGGAGACACACCCGTCCCTTGTCTGGCCCCAGCACTGCCCGGACAGAGGCACGTGTTGCACCTGCATCCCCCCTGAGACCCTCTCTGCAGAGCATGAAGGACTGAGCAGCATGTGGAATGCCAGACAAGGTCCCAGCTTCTCCACCACAGCCCTTCCCCACTGCACCTGCTCTGGCTCAGTGAACCTCTGAGTTCTCCTAGTGGACGAGGTGTGAGCTGCCCTCCTGCCCGCCCCTCCTGCCTGGCTCCAAGTGACTCCTACTCTAACGTTCTGTGTGACAGCCACAGGGGCAGACCCAGTGCATGGTACCACCTGGCATGTGTTTTCCCTGCAGCCTGGACAGCCCCAGAGCTAAGCGGTGCAGTAATCTGAGTACCTGTGTGCTGGGCACATACACGCAGGACCTCAACAAGTTTCACACGTTCCCTCAGACTGCAATTGGGGTCGGAGCACCTGGGAAGAAAAGGGTCATGGCCAGAGGCTTGGAGAGAGACCACGGCCCTCACATTGGCACGTCCCAGGATGCCTACTAAGCCCCTCCCTCTCCTTTCTAATTTCTTTTCTTACTTCTTTCCTATAAGTTAATGCATGTGGTCCTCTCTGCTTGTTCTTCGGGCTGGTATGAGTGGCTTTCTTTGTGGCAGTCGATGTCTGGAAGCTCAGATGGGAGGAGAGAGAGCAGGACCTACAGACCAGAAGAGAATCACCCAGGAAGAGATCAGAGAGAGAGAGGGCAGCCCTGTGAGTCCCTGAGAATTTCATAGCAGAGCTTCTCACTCCAGCTTCTGAATGTGCTTGTCATTGGGGAATAAAAGTATATTTCTAAAAATATTGAGCAGTGGTCATTATTGCTGTGGCCCAGATCCCAGGCTTCATGGTTTCAGGGACCTGTTTTAGAAGTAGCCTTAGCTCCAGGTAGCTGGACTCAGGGCATGCTGGGTGGTCCCTGTGACCAACCTCAAGTAGCAAGAACAGGAGCCCAGAGGAGCAGGTAAGCACCTCCATGACTTGATGCTGCCAACTCTCTTCCTCTTCCAGGTGAGTCTGGGAAATTTTCATATTCCTAGAAGGGTATTTGGTGATTTGAGTGGGATGTAACTTCTAGACAATCCTTGTGATGGGGTTGGGTGTGGAGCCATAATTCTCTCCAGTCTCATAAACTTTGGTTGATCTTTAGTTTATTAATACAGAAACGATTAGCTGTTACAGCTCTGTGTCCGGTGGACAGTTACCTAGAGCCACCACTGGGTTTTCCGACACGTCTGGGAATGTCTATGGGGAGTGATCATGGCATTTTCCCTAATGGCCTATGATTTTCTGCTATGATAACTGTGTTTAGGAGAAACTCCTAAGGTTCATTGGTGCCTCTCAGAGCAGTAATTTGACCATGAAGGTCCCATGGGGCAGGATCCTGCCCCCAGCCTCTCACTGACAGGCCTTTCTTTTTCTCCATCCTGCAAATCAGCATCACTGCCCAGAAGAGATCCTGCAACACTGCCAGCTGCTTGACCCATCGGCTGGCAGGCTTGCTGAGCAGTGCTGGGAGTATGGCGAACAGCAACTTGCTGCCCACTGAGATGGGCTTCAAAGTCTCTGGCCGTCGCCGCAGGGACCTTCAGGCCTGAGCAGTGAAATGACTCCAGGAAGAAGGTGACTGTCCTTGTACTGTCGGATGGGAGGATGAATGGCCGGGTACTGCTGGGGTGCTGTCCACACTCTAACCCTCCCTGGGCCCATAGGGGTAACAAATCCACAAGGGAAGGTGCCCACTCTGGTGTCTGGAGAAAGAACAGAGAGTCCCAACAGCCGAAACCCCTAGAATTTGGGTTCATTTCTCTCTGTTTTTCTAGTGTCTCCCTGGGACACTGAGATCATCTGCCAGGAAATATAGATCCTGTTTATTTAGAATACTGTTCCCTGCAGTAATAGTTGTGGCTATTCCAGCATTTGAGTTTGAAAGGCAATGACACTGTCCTATTGGAGTATATACTACAATGTCATGCACACCTGAATTCAGAGCATACAGTTGGGTCCAAGTACTGTGTTTGCCCTCTACTAGCTATATGACCATCGAACAGGCACTCTCTCTGAGCCTCAGTTTCCCCATCTATAAGCTGAATGCAACAATAGTATTTACCTGCTAGGACTAGTATAAAGAGTTCATGACATAATAGCTGTCAATAGCCTCACAATTAGTAAGTAACTAAGTTGTAACTGTTATTTTCTTCCTCCTAGATCACCATGAAGCTGAACTCTACTTCCTTTACTTCATAGTGAAAGCAACTTATTGGACAGGGAGCATGGAAGATACACCTATATGCATGCTTCTGGACATTGAAATCACTCTTTTCTGTTTAAAATAAACTAAAGCTAAATGCAGAATAAAATCATTGCAGTTACCTAGTGTGTATGTTTTTTATGTTGGATTTGTATTCAATAAATATGACAGCATGTCTCATGGCTTATCTGATAGCCAATCTGGGCCCCATCAGCCAACCCGTTGATGTTGGCAGCTCTGCCAAACTTCAGGGGGCCGTGAAATTGCTGCCTCATGGGTGTCTGGGGACACATAGTAATGCTGTGCCTTCATGGAACTCTTTGCTTGAAGAATATGGCATTTGTGAACTTCATCAAGATTAAAAATGTATTTTTGATGCACTTAAAAGGAGCCCCTGCTGCTCTTTATGCTGTTTTTCCCTGGAGAGCTTCAGGGACCTGTGAACATTTTGTTGACCAGGCTGGCTCAAATGAGGCAAAGGCAGCATACTTGGCCTGGGTCCTCCATGTCCTGTACTCTCAGTTTCTAGGGAAACATCCCATATTACAATCAGAACCCTGTGTGTCTCAAAGAGATAATTCACATTTACTTTCAAAGAGTGCCCTGGTCCCCAGCCCCGAGGATATCCGTGCACTTCTCCTTGACTCAGCTTTGCCCTTACCCATCCCTGCCTTTCCTCCCCATAAGCACCTCTTCACACACCCCTTAGCCTGAAAGCCCTTTAGAAGCAATGGGTCAGAGTTTGAAATGGGATCATAGACTGGCAGACCTAGAAAGTTCATCAGGTGCCCTCCAATATTTTATGAGGTACAAAGAATAAAAGTACATTGTTCCAGGTCCTGCAATAAGTTTAACAGAGACATTCACACATTTAACAAATACTGAGTGTCTGCTATATGCTTGACACTATTTGAGGCACTGAGAGTACAGCAATGATCAAAACAGACAAAACTCCCTGCATTCATGGAGCTGATATTCTAAATGGGGAAGTCTGAGGACACATGCTGTGGAGTCAGAGACACTCAGTATTGGAGGAAATCTGGGATGTCATAGTTCTGATGCTCCATTTGAGGTAGGAATTTCCCAGCATCAGCTTTCCTATATTCTGCTGGGGCTGCCAGTGACAAGCTGCCGACCTTAAATCCCAGGGTGATTGGCAGCCAGTTACACTGGTGGATGGTCAGTTAAGTGGGGTTATTTAGTTAGAAATGTCATCCCTTTCTAGCTACTGACTCTTGTTATTTCCTCAGGAGCATATAGAATTATGACCCATGCTCCCATTTAGTCTGTACTCAACCTTCGCTGTAAAAGGTAGATCAGACCACATTTCCCTTATGTGCAAAATACCCCAATGCCTCCCCATCTCATGGAATAAACACCTGGGGCATCGCAATGGTTTATAAGCTGATCTTCCCTTCCTCTCCTCTCACCACCATCCCCATTATTTGCTGGACTCATGTCCTACCACCTTCTCACACACTGGCATTCTTACTATCTCTCAACCTGCCTCCCCAGCATCAACTCCCTCAAGTGTTTCCACTTGCTACTACCTCTGTGCAGAATGCTCTATCCTCATGGACCCATTTCCTCCAGATCTTTACTCAAATGCCACTTACCCTGGCTGTCCTTTCTGAAATTATACTCCACACCACCAATGCACCCTAACCCTCTTCTTTGATTTTTTTCTCTTTTTACCATTTATTACGTTCTATCATAGTATATATGTTTTATTCAGTTAATTGTTTGCACGTCATCTTGTAAACAATGTGCGTTCCACATGGACAAGTTAGATGGCTAGTTTGTTAATTGCTAAATCCCCCACTCGCACAGTAGTGTACCTGGCACAAGGTACCACTCAATAAATATTCATTGAATAATGAAGTTGTCTTCTTCTCTTTTATGTGTGGTCAACTCTCAGGTTTCCTCTTGGCCTAATTTTCTTCTGGCTAAATTGCCCAAAGGCCTTCATCTTCAGCAATTCATCGCCTGGATAGTGAGTCCCTCAAGCGCCTGGAGACTTCTGCAATGGCCACCAGGTATCAGTGACTCGGTGTCCTGTCTCAAGGCCTCCACAAGGACTATGTCTTCAGTTTGAACACTCTTCTCACTCTGTTTCTCCTCTCCTGTATTAATGTGACCCCCTTTCATTCTTCTTCCCATGCAGTAAACAACACAGACAGGCGCTCTCTAGGGATGATACCTATAAATAGGTAGGTAAGCTCAAATCAGGAGGGGATATAGTGGGAAGCCCATTTTAGTCTGGCGTCCAAGTCAGCTTTGCCAATAGGAGAGCAAATACAGTAGTCCCAATCTTATCCACAGTTGCGCTTTCTGGGGTATAAGTTACTTATACCCCAGATTGACCCGTGGTCAACTGCAGTCCAAAAATATTAAGTGGAAAATTCCAGATATAAACTATTCATCAGTTTTAAATTGCAGGCTATTCTGAGTAGTGTGATGAAACCGTGAGCTGTCCTGTCCTTCCTGGGACGTGAATCATCCCTTTGTCGAGCTATCCATATTGTATAGGTTACCCACCTGTTAGTCACTTAGTAGCTGTCTTGGTTATCAGATTGACTCGCGTTCAAGCAACCTTTGTTTTACTTAATAATGGCCCAAAGCTAACTTTATTGTTAGTTTTGTTGTTAATCTCTTACTGTGCCTAATTAATAAATTAAACTTTATCGTATGTATATACGTATAGGAAAAAACACAATATATACAGGGTTTGTACTATCTGTGATTTCAGGCATCCACTGGGGGTCTTGGAACATACCCCCATCAGATACGGGGGACCGCTGTACTGTACTGAATTCCCACAAGAATTCTGAATATTTCTCAATTGATTCAGAGCTCATAGAATGAAATGCAACTAATTTGAAACTCCAAACCACAGTATAGGATACGCTGAATCAGAACCCTAAGAATAGATACAAGGAGTATATAAGGCAGTCAGCGTACAACATGGAGAGACAAAGACCTTTGGTGTGGCTGCAGCATCAGTCTTCACTACTCACAACCCACATGGGCCACTGCCGCAAAAGAATGTCTTCTGGTGTCAATTAAGGCTCTTGTCAAACACTCAGAGCTCAAGAATACATGCTGTGGCTGATTGAATTATTGCTGCCAATTCTTCACTATGCCACAGTAGCATGTCTGCTTACCCTTGCCATAGCCACATGGTGGGTAAAATTGACTTCCCTCCCCCTTGAATTTGGGCTTGGCTGTGTGAATTTATTTGGCTGATGGGATGTTTGTGGATCTTGTGCAAACTGAGGCTTGAAATGCATTTATGTGGTTGGGTTTTGTACTCTTGGGCTTCTGCCATCACCCTGAAAAGAACATGCCTTAGGTACCTGTTGACCTATAGTTTGGACTCCAAAATGAGACCTGTGGACCTAAACCTGAACTGCAATCTGGATCCACACACTACCAGCACCAGCTGAGATCATCCTAATCCCTACCACATTCCCATGAGCAAGAAAAATAAATATTTGTTTTTGTAAGCCCCTGAGATTTTGAGTTTGTTTTTATGTAACATTGTTGTGGCAATAGCTAAGCGGTATACGTAATTTGAGAGTGTCATAGAGTAAATGTGTCCCCGCCCCCAATATGTTGAAGCTCTAACCCCCAATGTGACTGTATTTGGAGACAGGGCCTTTAGGGAGATAATTAAGGTTAAATGAGGTCATAAGGGAGGGGCTTTAATCTGATAGGACTAGTGTCCTTATAAAAAAAAGAGATACTGGAGATCTCTCTCTTTCACTCTCCACGCACCTACAGACAAGAGACCAGCTGAGGACACAGTGAGTGATTAGCAGACATTTGGTCCTATCTAAAACTTCCATAAGACATTTGGTCAACTCCAAAAGGTCCTTGATATTTGGTTCTGTCGAAAACATCCATAAGACATTTGGTTCATGCCAAAATGTCCTTGATAATTGGTCATATTTGGTCCTGTCCAAAACATCCTTGGAGGCATTTGGTCCATGCCAAAAGGTCCTTGATATTCGATCCATGTCCAAAATCAAATGTCTTATGAATGTTTTGGGTAGGACCAACGCCCTGCGAGGCATCGAGTACATGGCCATTTGTAAGACAGGAAGGGAGACTTTACCACTCACCAACACTGATGGAACTCTGATCTTGAACTTTCAGCATCCAGAACCCAGAGAAAATAAATTTCAGTTGCTTAAGCCATCCAGCCTGTGGTATTCTATCATGGTTGCCAGAGCAGTCTAATACAGGGGGCGTTAGCTGATGGAATTAATTTTGCTACCACAGCTTGTTTTTCTTCTTATTGAGACTTTGGGCTCTACGTCAATTTGCTCAATGGCCAAATTATCAAATTTACTTGTTTCTTTTTATGAATTCATTTTCATTTGTCTTCTTAAAATCATCTTAAAGAATGTTCATTTTGTTCCAGTTCTAGTCTCCTGCTGGCCAAACTGGATAATACATACCTTAGATAAATTAATTGTGGTTTATCACATAATGGATATGTATGATATACTACACAACAGTGAATATAAATGTATGTATCAACCAGATAAATCGCACATATAATGTTGAGCGCAAAATAAAGCAAGTTGCAAAGAATATATACCAGATGATACCATTTATATTGAATTTAAAACATGCATAACGTTACATAATTTAGGGATACATACATATGTAGTGAGAATATAATCATGCGTAGAGAAAATAAACATCCCATTCAAAAAAGTGATTAACTTTGCCGGAGTGAAAAGGAGATGTCATGAAGAGGGGTGCATAGGCAGCAACTCCCGATGCGTCATTCAAAGTTGGCAAACATCCCCTGACAATAAGATGGATTTCAAAAACATGCAGTGTTTACGTCCACAAAGGGGTGATAGATTTTATCAATAGTAAGGTGTCTACTTTATCCTCAACCATTTATTAAACAAACCAACACGTCCCACAGTTATTTGAAACACCACCCTTCTCACATGCTGATCATCTTCTGGCCTTTCTTTCCTCGTCTGTTGATATGTTCATGCATCACTAACACAGTTTATTACTAGTAGGGCAAAGACACCTCATATTTCTCTTCTTCAAAGTGCTGTTAGTAATTTTCACATATTTATTCTTCCAGAAAAA